CGCTGCGCAGCCCGTTGGAGCTTCAACAGCTGCCACTTGTCGGGCCCCTCGGCGCCAGGTCGAATACGCGCCTCCTCTCGCAGTCGGGCAGCGGCCGCAGCACGCTGGCTCTCGTGCCAGGCCGCGCGCAGCAAACGGCAGTCCCTCTCAAAGTCCTCAGGGGCAACGAGGGAGACCACATCGTCGGTGTTGATCGACAGGTGCCTCACGCCTAGCTCCGCCGACTGCCTCAGGCGACGTGCGAGGTGGGCATCTTGACGCCAGACGGCTCGTGCAATGGCACGCATGGAGAGCCGCCTGCCGCCCTCCGCGTCCTCGCTGTAGTCGCCGATCGGGAGGGCCTGGATCTCGTTCCTGGTCAGGCGCGCCGCTTCAGTCAGAATCTCCTTGACGAGGGTCCAGCGAGGGGCCACCTCCAGGGAATCCAGGTCGGCCACGTCCAGCAGAGACTTCACGTGGTTCACGTATCGGGGAGAGCTGAAGATGTTTGGAGGGATAGACTGGTCGGTGATCTCAGATGGCGAGCGAGCCCAGACCTTCAGCTGGATGATGGCATGGCCGCTGAGGCCCCAGTCCGCCAGCGTCGCGGCCCCCTGCCAGATCTCGAACGAGATCGCCGTGTTCAGAATGGAGTGCGACGTCAGAGAGACGAAGTCGCGGTCAATGAAAGAGCAGGTCTGGTGCTGCTTGGAGAAGTGCGCGGGCAGCTCGCATGTGACTTCTACGAGCGCTTGCTGAAAGAGCGCCCTCCAGAAGCCTTGCCCCTGGTTGCCACGGTGCCAGACGGAGCGGCTGTCACCCGCCCGTCGCGCACAACTCCACCCCGAGTCCGAAGAGGAGGAAGATGAGGAGCAGTCGCAGGTGCCATTCCGCGTAGGGGAACTTGGGGTCGTCGTAGCGGGCTCGCGGTTGACGGGCCTGCGATGGGCGATGGGGGGCCTCTCCAGGGACAGCGGCTCGAGATCAGCGATGTTGAAGTCGCCGATGGCAATGAAAATACGATGGCGTTCATCATCTTGCGTCCAGCGGGCGCCATCCAGCCAGCTGCGCTTGATGGAACCGAAGGAGGACTGTGGGACGTCGTGGTTGTGGATATTGAGGATGCGGATGTGCTCGTTGGTGTTCGTGTTGGAGAGGGGGAGCTCAGCAACTCGACCAGGCACCAGCGTCATCACCTTGGCGATAGGGAGCAGGCACTGGTCCACGGAGCGCAGCTCAGCCTCGGAGAACCACGGAATCAGAAGGCCAGGCCGCCCGTGCCAGGGTTCACACCCGCAGAGAAAAGAAGGTGCGGTAGTGGTACGGCAGCTGGTCGATCAGGGTCCTGGGCTTGATCTCCGATCCGTGCACCTCCTGGACGACGATGAGATTGCGGTGCTTCATCAGCTGGGCGAGGCGGGCCAGCTTGGCCTTGCGTTTGTGAGCGCGATGGCATAGGAGACCGTTGGCGTTCCAGGAAGCAATGCAGAGCCCCCTGCTGGCGATCGAATCCGCGCCTCGGGCGGGGGCGAGAACCCAAGACAGCCAGCGAGGGCTAGGAGCACGACCAGCTGGACGTGACCACCTCGGCGGTAGCAGCTGTGGCCTGGTTGAAGTGCTCGACAATGGTGCGACGGTCACGGTCTGAGATGAAACGTGAGGATCCAGGATGCCAGTAAATCTTGGACGGTTCGAGAAAGCCCTGAGGGGCGACCTCGATGATCGGCACGGCGCTGGCGCAGATGATGCCCTTGGGCCTGATGGCGGTCCAGTCCACCGGCTTGTCGAAGGGGCGGGTCCAGTCCTGGCTGGGGATGTTGAGGAGGCGCTTAGTGTGCAACTCGCGGCGGATCTGACGCGGGGCTTTGTCAGCGCCCACGTGGAGGGCGGCGCGCCAAAGGAGCGCCATCCCCCACCAGGAAGCCGCAAGGCACGGGCCAGAGCCATGGCGCGAGGGGCACCAGCGCCCCCGTCGCCCTTGACGTGGACGAAGAAGCGCTTGGCAGGGACAGCACCGCCGACCACTTCAATGAACTCCGAGCGGACCTTCGCGGCGATGACTCCGCTGGTACCAGCACGTCGCACACGTCGGCGGGATGTTCGCTCTCCTCCACTGCGGCAAATTGAATCACATCTGCCAGGACCGCGATCACCAGAGCCAAGGCCGACAGTGTCCATGCAAAAGAAGAATACTGTCGCGGCGGGGCGCGGGAAGGAGAACTGATATGGATGCGGAGCGGGGCTCCAAACACTGGTGAATATGGATGCTCCAGCCAGGAGCTCACGGCATGGGGGTCTGTCCAGCACTTGTGTCGCGGGCCGCGCTGACAGAAACCCCGAGAAGCTGACCTGTCCAGCTGACTCGACATATGGATTACTTGAGCCAAAATGGCTACGGATGGTGATGGTGAGGAGGAGGAGGAGGAGGCGGAGGAGGAGGAGGAGAGGGAGAAACAGGAGCAGAAGTAGGAGGTGCAGCACGCGGGGGGAGGAGGACGAGGCAGGAGGAGGAGGAGGAGGAGGCGAAAAGGCGAGAGCAGCGAGGACGAGGGGGGGACAAAGGAGGCGAGAAAACGCACAAGTGGACCGCTCCGCTGGAAGAGCCCAGGAGCCTGTACATTAGCAGCCTCCGCTCCGCGGCCGGGTCCCCCCGAGCCAGCGGCGTCGCGCCGCTGTCCAACTCCTCCTCCTCCTCCTCCTCCTCCTCCTCCTCCTCCTCCTCCTCCTCTTCCTCCATTCCTGTTCCTCCATTCCTTGTCCTCTTCCTTTTCCTCCTCCTCCTCCTCCGCCTCCATTCCTCTTTCCTCCATTCCTTTTCCTCCTTCTCCTCCTCCTCCTCCTCCTCTTCCTCCATTCCTCTTCCTCCTCCTCCTCTTCCTCCATTCCCTTCTCTTACGAGTAACTCCTCCTCCTCCTCCTCCTCCTCCTCCTCCTCCTCTATCCTCCATTCCCTTTTCTTATGAATGGCTCCTCCCTGTCGCACCCCGGGGCCAGTTGGAGAGGCGGATCGGGCGTTTCGCCTGAGTCTTCCTTGCGACTTGTGGTCCTTTTACTCAAACGTTGGCCCCTTCCCCTCCCCCTCCCTCTCCCCCTTCTCCTCCCCCTCCCCTCCTCCTCCCCCTCCTCCTCCTTCTCCTCCTCCATTCCTTTCCCGCACAAGTAGGTTCTCCCTGTCGGGCCGGGCGTTCCGCCTGGGACTTTCTCACCACTTATGACTCTGAAACTTAGAAATTGGCTCCAGTTTCACACATCGACGGCGGGTGGTGTTCAAAATGTGGCTCTCGCCTAGGCGCTGCGCTGATTCGCTGCAAACCATTGCGATAGTTTCACGGAATGAAGGCGGTGCGGTTTCAAAATGTGGCTCTCGCCCTAACGCCGCGCACACCCTTCTTAAACATGTGCAAGAGTTTCACGGATTGATGGCGGCTCCTTTTCAAAATGTGGCTCTCGCTTAAGCGCCGCGCCACTCGCCTTAACAAAAACATGAATTTCACAGGTTCCAATGGTCACTGTACCAGAAATAATGTTTTGGAGCGGTTCAGGATTGCCCCGGCGTTACAATTACGTGAATTCGCAATGTTCAAGTCCCAAAGATGGTGTTCTGGCACGAATCAAGGTCGTCAAGGCGCAACAGTCTACTTAAGTTGTGGCGTTGGGGTCCCGAGAATGGTGTTTTGGCATGCCTCGGGATCTTCGAATGGTTGTTTCCCGACGGGGCACTTGCGTCAGTGGAAATGAACCCTTGTAGGAGCCTATGCAAAGGGAGCTTGGAGGGAGGATTTATACCAACATCGTTGATGAGTGTTGGGTTTGCACTGGTCCTCTTCCTCCTCCTCCTCCTCCTCCTCCCTCGTCCTCGTCCCTGTCCTCCTCCTCCTCCTCCTCCTCCATTTTTCTCCTCCTTATTTTTCCCCTCCTCCTTCGTCTTCGCCCTCATCTGCGTCATCATCCTCGTCTGCGTCCTCGTCCTCGTCTTCCACCTCCTCCTCCTCCTCCTCCTCCTCCTCTTTCTCCCTCGTCCTCGTCCTCCTCCTCCTCCTCCTCCTTCTCCTCCTCCTCCTCCTCATCCTCCTCCTTCTCGCCCCAGGGAGCGGTCTTCCTCCTCTTCCTCCTCCTTTTCTTCCATCCTCCTCCCCCCTCCCCCCGCCTTCCGTCCCAAATCTTTCTGCTTACCAGATGCCCACACGATCTCCCGTTGCTCTGCTCACCGGCTGCCCGCCCGATGTCTTATCCTTCTCGGCCTCAGCCCTCGGAGCCACGTCGCGTTCGTCCTCCCTCCGCCGCTGCCCGCTTCGGCTGCGCCCTCCCCTCGACGCTGCCCCCTCCTGCGCGCCCCCTCGGCACCACGCGCCCCGCTGCCCTCGAGCCGCTCCACTGCAGCCCGCGCCCGTGGATCCCTGATGCGCACCTCGCTGCCGCCGAACCGCCGCACTGCAGCCCGCGCCCATGGCGTCGCTGACGCATGCCCCCCTGTGTGTGTGTGTGTGTATTGGGTGCTCGGACTGCGAGCCCGCTCTGGAAGAGGAGGAGGAGGACGAGGACGAGGAGGAGGAGGAGGAGGACGAGGAGGAGGAGGAGGACGAGGAGGAGGAGGACGAGGAGGAGGAAGAGCAGGAGGAGGAGTCCGTAGCCATTGTGGCTCAAGTCCGTAGCCGCTTTGGCTCAGGACCTGGCCTCACTGGCAGAGGGGGAGCAGCGGCCCCCACAGTGCCCCCCGTTTGCTCGGCCAGACGAGGTTTCCTTTGCGTGAGCTCCTGTCGGAGCAGCAGCCTCTTCGTAGTATCATGGGCAAGAAGCATGCTGGACACACGGTGCCGAATACGGCGCAGAGCGAGTGTTGGAGTTGTGCAGCATGCGGTTGCCAACGTAACGAGTCTTGGTGGACGTGGTGCAAGCGCTGCAGAGGAAGTCGCTCATCCCCGACGTTCAGTGACTGGCCACAGTCGCCTCCTGGTGTTTCGGCTGGTCCACGAGCCACTCATGCATGCCAAGCATGCCTGCGAGCGCGCGCGCGAGCCCAGCTCGAGAGGTCGGCGCAGGTGGCGGAACGCCTCGAGGAGCAGCTGGCGGAGGCAAAACGGCGAGTTGTGCAGTTGCACAGCGAGCTCAAGACGCGTGAGAATGAATATCAGGACGTGGCGCGACGCCTTCGTGACGAAGTGCTCCCGCAGCCCGAGCCAGCAGCAGTGAAGCCGAAGCTCGACTTGCAGGGGCTTCTGGCGGGCGAGGAGTTCGAGGTCGACGACGGGGGCGCGTTCGGGCTCGTGGACGCGGGCACCCAGCTCTCAGCGGAGGAGAAGATCGAGTTCGACAAGGCGCAGGCAGACGCCCGTGGGCATCTTCAAGGCGGCAGCCCAGGCGGCGTTCGGCCAGGCGAAGGAGAAGTCCTCCGCCCTGCTGGAGGAGCACAGGGAGCTCGCTCGCAGGATGGCCGACGCCAAGCGGCGCCGCACCGAGGAGCCAGGTGCGGCGCCCGGCGGCCCTGGCGAGGCGCCCCCCGCCTTCCCCTGCTGCGGCTGCTGCTGCAGGGGGCTCGGCAGGCGCCCCGCCCCCCCCCCCCGCTTCGGCTGCTGGTGGAGCTGCCGCGGCCGCGCCCCCCCCCCCCCCCCCTCCCCCAAGGGGGGGTGGGGGGGGGGGGGGCATGCGCGACATGGACCGCTGCGGGGCGCTCTTGCCCAAGCCTGCAGGTTCGGCCGAGGCCACCCCTGTCCCAGAGGCTGAGGAGGAGGGCGGGCTGCTTGAGGCAGCTCGATGGCAGGCACGGCAGAGGTCGCAGGTTTAGCCATGAGTTTCTTTTTGATCCGAACGCTTCAGAGTTCTTTCCCTGGTCCTCTTGTGTCGTGGGCGCCCTCGTGGGCGAGAACTACTGGTCGCAATCGTCCCAGCGCCGGTCGCGCGCAAGCTTCCGTTCCTGACGTGCCGCTGCGTGGGATCGGACCTGAGGCAGGTGAAGAGGAGCCCCTCTTTTTGAGCCCTGATGCTGCAGTTTTGAACCAGCTGTTGGCAACGCAGTTCCGCAGGCTCCCGTGCGCCCCCCCAAGAAGGGCAAACCGCACGGGGACGCAGTGACCTGGACCGCCAACACCACGTTTTGGAAGCCCGCGCTTGCCTTTGTTCGTCAGCGTGCTGAGCAGAGGCGGACGCTAAGCTATCCGACCGACCAGTGCAGTTTCTTTGTCTCCAGGAGCCCGGAGTACATCCAGGCAGCCATGCGCAGCGCGAGAAGCAGCTGCGCGACCGACCCTTTTTCGTGGCCGTGCACGCCAGTCGTGTCACCGAGCTTGGAGGGCTTTCAGGAGGCGTTGGCGTGGGTGTACCTCCGCATATTGGTATGGGAAAGGGCCCTCTCCTGAAGCAGTCCCTCCCATCTCCTCATCGTCTCATCGTCAAGTGGGTGAGCACTCTTGTCCCAGGTGGGCTTTGGCTGGCCTCGGTGCCTCTCCCCACGGGGGCCCCGCTGGGCCCTGAGGGTGCCCAGCTGCTGGTTTGGTTGGGCGAGATGTTCCGCGCTGTTCGGAGGCCCTTTTGTGGTGGGCGGAGACTGGAATACTAACCCTTTGGAACTCGCGTCGATGGGCTGGCCGAGTCGTGTACAGGCATGTATTGTCGCGCCTAGGGACATCACCTGTCGCTCGGGAAAGGGTAGTGTATTGGACTATGTTGTGATCTCGGATGTCCTCGTGCCGTTGGCCAAGGGGTGCTCGGTCGCTTTCAACTCGTTCTTGGCGCCCCACAGGCCTACTGGGCTCCGTCTTTCTGCCCGAGCGGTTCCCTCTACTATCCTAATGCACAATGGCCCCCGCAAGCCCCCGCAGGTTATCCCTATGGGGCCTTATCCTGCCCCGCCCGACTGGCCCAGTGCGTTGGAAGCCCTCGGAGCCAAGGGAGACCAGGGCAGCTTGAATGAGGTGTCCAGGAAGTTCACGGGTCTCATGGAGGACGAACTCGTCGGGGTTCATAGGATCCCAGAGCACCAGCAGGCCAGGCTTCGAGGAAGGGGCTTAGGCTGGAGGTTCAAGAGGCCCCCTGGTTTTGCTCCAACGCCAGGCCCCTACCCTGTTGCTAGCCAGGAGGCGCTGGGCTGGAGGCGCGTGGCCAACTGGCTGCGCGAGCTCGGCCACATCCAGGCCCAGGGCGAGTGCAGGAGACCTCTCATATTCGCCTCCCTCCTGGCTAAGCTATGCGCTATGCAGTGGGCCGCTGGCCATCAGGGACACTTGAGCCCGGGCCCAGTTCTCTCTTTCGGCTGCTGAGTGGAGCAGCATAACTTCCGCAGGCCTTGCTGATTGGGCGAAGCTTGCAGGTGTACAGGCAGTTCGTGGCGAGCGAGATTTTACCGAGCAGCGGGCAGCGGAGTGGCGTGACTTCGCGAAGGACGCAGTTGCGAACGGCGGTGGCAAAGCTCACAGATGTTTATCGTCTCCCTGTCGGCTGGCGTCCCATTCATCCTAAGCGAGGGGAGACCCCGCCAGGACCTGAGGATGCGTTGGAGCATGTTCTTAAGGATTGGGAGGAGGTCTGGACTTGCCCCAACGCTGACGCGAACCCCGACGAGTGCTCCTGGACTCCCAGCAGTGCCCTGATGTACTGTATGAACCTGGAGTTATTCGTAAGGTTGCGCGTAAGATTAAAATCTGAACCTCCCACGGGGTTCATCGTTTGGGCCCCGGAGACTTCTGCGTCGTCTCGGACCAGTGCCTCGAGGCCCTTAGCTTGCTCTGGAATTGGATGCTCGTCTTGGGCGCGCTACCTGCGCAGATCAGCCTCGCCCCCATGCCCTCCCCCCCGAAGCCCGATGGGGGCGCGCGGCTCATCGGGCCGCTGAGCATGGCGGTTAGGATCTGGGCCCGGTGTTCCAGGTGCGTCGCTCGTCAGTGGGAAGCTGCTCATTGCCGTTCCTATACCTATGGGGGCCGAGGGAGATCTTGTGACAGGGCCGTTTGGGGGCGGTCCTTTACGAGCGAGAGCAACGCCTTGACCAAGAGGGTGGCCACCAACTCCTTCCTCACATCGTTAAAGCCTGCGAGGAGGTCCAGCATGGTGACCTCACTCGGGTGGGCCAGAAGCACACTTTCCCTCTTTTTCACCTTCGGCTTTGTCTAACGGTCTAATTACCGTGCACCCCGTGGCCTCTTGCTCGGAAAGCGTCTCTCGCCCTGTTCGCATCCTGTCCACCGCCATCGCGGGTCGCGGCTTCGCCGCGACCCTGTTGCAGGTGATGCTGCTGGATGTGATTGATGTTTGTGAGAAGTGGCTTCCGCGTGCTAGACTGTGTAACTTGGTTGGCGACATCGCGGCCCAGACGGTCGGCGCGGCCGAGTTTGTTGCTAAAGCAGCGTCGGCATCACCCTCGCTCTTCGTCGCGCGTTCGAGGCTCGGGGGCTTATCGCTTCCACCGCGAAAGGCGAGGTCGCGGCGACGACGGCGGAGGTTGCAGACAGAGTAGTAGCTGTTCTTTGTTTGTTTAAAGAGGCATTTTAGGAAGACGCGTCACGTGATGGACCTGGGCACAGACCACGCGCAAGAGAGGCGTAGGCGCGCTCAGGTTCAGGCAGGACGGGCGAGCAAAATGAGGGCCCGGGCGGGTCGGGTTCGCTCTTTCCAAAAAAACAGCTTCGTAGGCTCACGATGACTTCTAAGGTCGGGGCCCTGCCAGCGGGCTCTCGCGGGGTCAGCGTCATCGGGATCTCGAGCGGGCTCCTCTCTGGGCCTCGTTGCGCCGTTGCTCGGGGGCTCTATGAACCTGCAAGGGGCCGCCCCCGAACTATGCAGTGTTGGCTGTCGCCTTCGCCCGAGGCAGACCCTGCCTTTGCGGGCAACTCCCTGCCGCTCCTCGCGCGGGGGGGGGGCCTCGCGGCGGGGCTGGACCCCTCGGGAGGAGATGCGATCTGTCTTTGACCTGTCGCTGGAGCGTTTCCGTCCTAATGAGTTGATCTGGTCTGCCGTCGAGGGTCCGACGGGCGCCGTGATCATGACTTTCCGAAGGCTTCGTTGGGTTCCCCAGAGCTTTCGCGCTTGGATTTTGCTCTCGGGCCTCACCCTTGACCTCGAGAAGGTCCGCCAGACGTCCCTGCAGAAATTCGTCGACCTTGGCACTAAGGGCCTTTTAGCTGGGCAGCTTCGATGGAGCCACCAGGGCCAGGAGCTCTCTCACCCCCAGCTCGATGCTGTCAGCGAGGCTTGCGCCCTCCTCCGCCGACGAAGAGAAAGCTTGCAGGCCAGCCTCCTCGCCGCGCATGTCTCAGGAGGTCTTGTTACCCAGCCGGTGTTGCATCAGGATCGCCGCGCGATCGATGAAAGGTGCCAGTTGTGTCTCGGTGCTCGAGGCGCCGCGCAGCACCTACTTTTTGAGCGCGACGGCCTGCAGCCAGGTCGTTCTCAGCGGGTTTGAGTAGGAACTTTTGGGATTGAGGAGGGAGGCCGAGGACGATCCCCTCATGTCCCGCTGCCTCCTCCCTGCCTCCATCAGGTTCACTCCCCGCCTTCGGGTCACAGGAGCTTGGAGGTGGGACGTCAGACCCCCTGGAGGTCTACTCGAAGGCCGTGAGTGCTCCGACGGCTCTGCCCTGTTCCCAGGGCTTCCCCTCTTCACAGTCGCGGCTTGGGCTGTCATGATGCTGGATGGAGGTGGGAGCGCGTTGGGGACGGCCTCGGGACGGCCTCGGGCGAGGAGGAGGAGGAGGAGGAGGAGGAGGAGGTGGAGGTGGTGGAGGGGGAGGAGGAGGAGGAGGAGGAGGAGAAGAGAGCGCGTTGGGGACGGCCTCGGGCCCCCTGCCGCATGCACTGCGCTCTGTCTATGGAACAGAGGTCTTCGCGCTCCTCATGACTCTCCGCCTCTCGGGCCCGGGCGATCCGGAGCTCGGGTGCGGCTGGGAGTCTGCTGTTCTGACCTGGGCCCGAGGTGCGGAACATTCCTCCTCCTCCTCCTCCTCCTCTTCCTCTTCCTCCTCCGCCTCCTCCGCCTCCTCCGCCTCCTCCTCCTCCTCCTCCTCCTCCTCCTCCTCCTCCTCCGCCTCCTCCGCCTCCTCCTCCTCCTCCTCCTCCTCCTCCTCCGCCGCCTCCGCCGCCTCCGCCTCCGCTTCCGCCTCCTCCTCCTCCTCCTCCTCCTCCTCCTCCTCCTCCTCCTCCTCCTCGGGCGACATCTTGATGCTTCCAACTTGCCGTATGCTGCGTCACGGGAAGAAAACACCTTTCGGCGACGGGAGCGGGGAGACACTGTTAGGGTGTTCCACGTTCCCGCTCGCAGGTCTTGGCCGCGAGCTCAGTCGCCGGGGATCTCGTTCCAGGCTTGGCGAGGAACTCGTCTTGCAGACCAGGCGGCCAAACGTGCTGCTGGTGAGATTCCTGTGCCAGTCTCGCTGCGGAAAAGTACACCGAGCAGCGGGATAAGTTGCACATTCCGCGTAGGTTCAGAGGGGCGGTGCTCGAGGTTGCTGGCAGGCCGACGTTCCGAGATGTCTCCCG